CCTACCACCACCACCACCACCACCACCACCACCACTACTGCCACCCCACCACCACATCTGCCACAACCACCATAACCACCTTTGCCACCGCCACCGTCACCGTCGTCACCCGTCATCACCACCACCATTTGCTATCACCTTTGTCCACCATCACTACTCACCATCATCATTATCTCATTCTTATATTTATGATCACTCCCACCATTATCCCACCACCACTATCACCCACCGCCATCCACTACCACAACCTACCAGCACCAATTGCCCACCCACCACCCACCACCATTACCGTGGACCACCACCACCACCGTTACCCATGGCTGCCACTATTACCATTATCACCCAAAACCCACCACCACCATTATCGGTGCCACCTACAGTTGCCGCCACCACCACAATCGTTGTTGCCCACCACAACCATTACCATCGCCCACCACCACCACCATTATTGCCTCCACTGATACCATCGAGTATCCCCACTACAATTGTTGCTTAAATTCTTTTCTCTCTCCTTTATGTTTGTGATTTGATTTAGGTGTGAATATAAATATGTTTATGATTGACAATTTTTTCCATTACTCTATACTTTTAGGCATGAGCAATAATTAGCTATTATATAACAGACATTTATTTACTCAAAAGATTTTTGCACATCGCTGAATATCAATAACTCAAATTATTTTTGATGTTGTCCATCTATTTTGATAGATAAATTCATAGTACTTAAACTAGTAAATTAGGCCAGTGTCCCTTATTTGGTGTGTAAACTAATTTTAGTCCTATCGAATTTTTAGTATAAAAAAATGTTCTCCGATTTTTTTAAAAACTTGTATATGATCCCTGTATTAGCGCAAATGTTAAGGGATGGATTAATTACTAGTTTTTATTACCCATTTTATCCTCATCACATGATTTTCAGTCTAAAATATGGTTAGTTTCTTTTTTTTTTTTAGCGTTTGTTATTGAAGTTTTTGCAGTGTTGTCTATCAATTTTAAAATTCAAACCCGTAAACCAAGAAATTTGGACCTTATGATAGTGTTTGACGATCTGTGTTTTAATATAAATGTGTGACAATCTATATTTTAGTGTACCTGTCTGACGATTATTGCGTATCTGTTTTTTTTTATATATATTTTTATTGTGTACTTGTTATTTTTTTTTTAATTGCGTACTTGATTTTTTTAAGCATACCTGTCTTTCGATTTGTGTTTATGAAAAAAAATGTACATTATGATGATGTAACTTTTTAGAATATGTGTTTAAATTAGGTGATGACATTATTGTTATTTTTTGCAATTGTAAAGGACGTTAATTATGTCTATTCTTTTGACTTTTCAACAGGAACTTAATTCAAAAAAAAATTGCCAGTAAATTTTTTTAAAATCAAATTGGGCCTAGAGACCGACTTCCAATTCCCACTTTAAACCCATGATGGAAACAAATTTTGATGCAGATTAAGTTTTAGTGGAAATTTCTCCTCATAAGTGCGCCATACCTATAACAGGGACGAGTACATGCTACTTTGTGAAAAATATAAATTTTTATATTTCAAGCATAGATTTGGTGATATTTTAGAGCATTAAAATTTTAACGACAGTAATTTTATCTTCATTCTTTGATATGACTCGATAAGGAATTATTTACCACTTCAAATTTAAAACATATTTACTGAGATACGACATTTTTAAACTTATTTACTAATTTAAGACACTTTTTAAAAAGTAGAGTCAACAATCCCACCTTTAAGAGTGAATTCATTGAATTTTGTAATCTATTTTTACATCTAAGTGAAGTAATGAATAGCCTTTTCTAATCCATTATTAAAAGTGCACTTTTTAAAAAACATCCTAGTTTGATAAACAAGCCATATTTTGATAAATTATTTAAAATTGCCATAGAATGATAGATAACTCAATCGATAAGTCTTTACAATGTGAATAGAGGAATGGAAAGAGGCACAATAGAGGCCCTTTTGCAAGTACTGATCCTTGACTTCCATGTTATGGATATGTAGATGTAGTCATGTAGATGGCAGACGATAAAATACACCAAACCGCAATATCGCAGATGCTTGTTCCCATTAGCGGCAAAATTAAATGTTATTTGCAACAACTAATATGTTGCTGTAAATAATTAAAAAAAAAAAATGAACTTTTTTTGCGTCAATTTTTTTGGCAGCCACAATTACTAATACTTTTTTGCGGCCCCTTTTATCCGTTTTATACAGTTGTTCGTGTATGCCTGCTGCAAAAAAGTGTTTGCAGCCGTAAATATATTTTTTTGCGGGGCTCTACGCTGTCTCAAATAGTGATTGTTTGTAGTGAAAGGTGGCCACCGAAGCTAGGAACAATCGGTTAAATGAGTTTTTGTTGTAAATTTCTATTTTGATAATATCTGACAAAATTATTCATGTGCTAATGCTTTTGGGATCTAATTTACTGACTTAATTCACTATGATCTTTTGATTAACTGTAGGGCCCATCAAACATTGGACTTGGTGTTGATCCAATGACTTTGCTGAAGTCACATCATTATGTCAGTAAATTAGATCAGATTTTTAAATTCAAAGCTTTTGTAATATTGATCTAGTACACTAGCAATTTAAAATTCCAATCAAAGCACAATACTCAAGAAAACTAGGGCTGTCAAAATTTGACACGACACGATTAACCGACACGAATTAAGCGGGTTTGGGTGATAAACGGGTTGACACGTTTAATAAACAGATCGTATTTGAGTGAGACCTGTTAAACCGTTTATCACACGTTTACCTGTTTAAATAAAATTAATGTAATAATAAATTAATAATTATTTTAAAAAATTAGCAAGAAAAAAAGAAGTAAAGAAATCAATAAAAAAACAAGTAAAGTAATAGTTTAAAGACAAAAAAGAGGAGATGCGAAGCACTTCAAAGACAAAAGTAAACTAATGACTTTTATTTTTGTCCCACATTGAAAAAGGAGGGGAGATGGAGAGGGTTGAGTTGCCTATAAAAAGTAATGGTCTCTTGTTTTTTTTTTTAAGCCTTCAAGTCTTATTTTTATGAGATTTGAGTAAAAATTCTTTTTTTTTGAGATAAGAGGGTAGCAACTCTCAATGCAAAATGATTTGTGCTTCAATCACAATTTTGGTAAATTTCAAACATTCTTAAAATTTGTCCCTATTAAAATACCTTTTCAAATTTGCCCCCTCAAGACAGTTTCTAAAAATTGGGGGATAGTATGTACTTTTAAAATAAGTGAGATTTTCACATAAATTAAAAAAAAAAAAAAATTGCCCATGCAAGATTGTCCACGACTCCACCTTTCCCCGTCTTCCTGTGACAATCCAACAATTATGACTTAGTTGAATTTTTAAAGATCGTCAGTCGTGATTCACGACAAATTTTAATGGTCTTTCTATTAGATACGTTTTGATCATTTTAGAATATTAATGGTATTTCTAGGTCATTTATTGAAAAGTCGATGATAAAAATATTGAGTATGCGTATAATTAAATAAATTATTTATTGAATTGGTTATAAATTATGTTAAAAAAAAGTTATGAATAAATGTTTTAAAAGAATATCAATATTGAAATAAAAACTTTAGCAATATGATTAAGTTACCACCAAGTTTTAGGTTGCCTACAGTGTAAGCAAATCCTGGCTCTGACGAATTCAACTACCGAGGTCCTTCCGTTCTTGTTTTGGCTGCAGGTTGACAGCACGGTGGAAAAGGCATGGATATTGCAATCCAAAGGCCGTAAGTTTAAGGAGAAATCTGTGTTCTCTTTTCCTAGGTAGCTACTGTGAATATTATATTGCCAAATATCCAGGGATGAGTGTGGCAAGTGGCATGCCGTTATACGTATATACACTGGCGGAGCCGGTACTGGACCAGGTGGGCACGGCCAACCCTGAATTTTTTTAAAGTATTACTAGTTGTATATATTTCAAATAATTTTTGGTATATTTGATGGTGCCTATCTTATAACTTATATATTTTGTGTTCACCTTGTTAAGTTCTTGTCCTATGAAGTAATATAGACACATACCTAAGAAACTATAAATTTTGGACACAATTTACATTTTACGAATCTAGACAAGTTTTTGACATATCGAATTCATTTTTTTAAGTTATGAAAATTGTGATAATTAAGTTGCATAATTAAAACAGTGATTTATTTATTTATGTAGAGAAAGATATTTTTCATAATATTAATAATGAAATTATCATATAATGCTTAAAGGCATGAAAATTTATCGAGATTAATTGTAAACAATGGAATTAGCCAATTTTTTTTTGTTTTTTTTTTTTTTTTTTTATACGTTGTGTATATTAACGTTGAACCATTTTGTATCTAGTGAATGTTTGAATATCAAATATAATATAATAAGTTTAGATTTGCTATTTTATTTTTACCAAGTGAAAGAAAAAAAATTAAATTTAAAATTATAATGCCCACCTTGAATAAAATGTTTTGTTTTGCTATAGAAACCTAATTTAAAAATCTAATCAAAGATCTAACCATTAGATGAGTCCTAAGTTTTAATGTTAAATGAAATTAACTTTCAATTCAATCACTACATTGAATTAGATTTTAAATTAGATTCAAATAACATTTTTCATATATATGCGCAAGTCGGCATGCCACTATGGTACTGAAAAGCAACCTCCTTTTTCATCTAATAAAAATGTGATATGTGTAATATTTTCTTATTTATTTTCATGATCATTATGTAAAAATGAATTAAACAATGATCTAGGACTATAAATCATTTTTGGTTATGTTAAGAGAAATAAACTTTTCGTTAATATAGCCTTCTAGATAAGCACATTGTGACATGATGCCTGACATTTTTGTTTTTTACACGATGCCTGACATGTCTTCAAATACCTTTATATTATGTATGTATAGTCTACAAGTATATACAGCCTTCTATGGGTTGTGGACTTAAACCATCAGTGTCGTAGGTACTCGCTTCATCCAAATACTTATCTCACTTTTAACTCCAGCTATGGCTCCTGTGGTTTCACCGGTTGTCTCAAATTCGTTGGATGTTACAAATATTGTAGTAAACGAAGGTCACGGAGTGAAGGGTCTTGCCGAGATGAGCCTTGAAACCCTACCTGAAAAATATATCCAACCGTTGGAAGAAAGGATATCAACGAGCAAAGAAGTGGAAAAAGAGTTTGTACCCTTGATTGATGTGGCGAATTGGGATGATCCGAAGGTGTTGGAATCGATCTGCAATGCTGCAGAGAAGTGGGGTTGTTTTCAGATTGTTAATCATGGGGTGGCTATAGATGTACTTGACAATTTGAAGGACGCAACTCATCGGTTCTTTGGATTGCCAGTAGAGGAGAAGAGGAAATATTTGAAAGAGCATTCGCTAAGCACCAACGTGCGGCTTGCCACAAGCTTTAATGCTCAAGTAGATAAGGCTTTGGAATGGAGGGATTTCCTTAGCCTCTTTTATGTTTCAGATGACGAGGCTGCTGCATTTTGGCCTCCTGTTTGCAAGTAACAAATGCAATTTTGTTTTGAAAACATTCATGCAACAATAATTAGTTAACTTCACATAGAAATACAAACAGGCATGCATGCACATGTTTTTTTAGTTCTTTTGCTTCTTGTTTTGAACATTTAGATAGAGTTTACACTTTACACGATAAAATCCGTGTAACCATTTAATAAATGTGTCGAGTCTCATATAGGCTAGCTAGGATGGAAATACACAAACCCACCTCCCTCATTAACACACTAGAGCCACAACCCTGCAAACCACCATCACGGTCCATGCTCGAAACTCGAAAGACAAAAACTCAATATCTCAAATTCAGACCACAACCACCACCACCACCACCATCATCATGCATGCACGTGTTTACTTCATTCACATATGAATTTAGGATAACAGTACTATTCTGATAAACTAATCATTTGCTGGCTTTTAGGGATGAAGCACTGGCTTTCCTGAAGAGTTCTGAATTTGTAATTAGGAAGTTGTTCGAGGTGCTAATGAAAAGACTGAATGTGAAGGAGATTAACGAAACAAAACAATCTCTTTTAATGGGTTCAAAGAAGATTAACCTTAATTACTATCCAAAATGTCCTAACCCTGAGCTCACAATTGGAGTCGGACGTCACTCTGACATCAACACACTTACTATTCTCCTCCAAGACGATATTGGTGGACTGTACGTGCGAAAGACAGACGGTGATACTGATAGTTGGATTCCTGTTTTACCAATCAGTGGATCTCTTGTCATCAATGTGGGAGATGCACTCGAGATTATGAGCAATGGTCGATATAAAAGCATTGAGCATTGTGTAACTGCTAATGGAAGCAAGAACAGAGTTTCAGTGCCAATCTTCGTGAGCCCAAGACCTTCTGATGTAATTGGGCCTCTACCAGAAGTGCTAGAGAGCGGAGAGGAAGCGATGTACAAGCAAGTTGCCTACTCTGATTACATGAAGCATTTCTTCAACAAAGCCCTTGATGGAAAAGGCACACTTGAACTTGCAAAGATATGATTGTTTTCATATCAAAACCCTTTTCTTCTATTCGAATAATATGTATAATAAGGATGATAAGAATCATCAAGCCATGTTCCTAAAGAACATAAGCTTGTATGTAATCCAACCATCTGCATGGCACAGATTGGTTTTTCTATTTAATATCTTTCGTTAATCAATGAAATTTGTGTTTTTCTTTATTTAACTTCTCGTCAAAAGGAAAAATGAACATATTCGACTAGAAAGGAACACCATATATGTTGGGAAAAGGAATCAAGGAGACATTCAATTTTTAATTTACATTCATAAAAAACCAGTGTTACTTGGACTCCAAAAGTTAATATTATTTGTTAACTTCGTCAATCACTATCATTGATTTAATTGTGGGTCCTAACATTTATTAAGACTCACTATCTATTGAATTGTTGTAATTGATAAAGTCAATAAATGTTGTTAACTTTTTTGGCCTAATCACCCTTTTCATAGTAGCACCGAGGATAATTGACTTGATCCAAAATGTGTACACCCAAGTGTAGGCGGATAAGTTGTAGTAATAATCCAGTTAAATCCGAAGTTGAATTCACAAGGAACTATTGTTGGTATTTCAAAGTAAGAAGTGACAGAGACCAAGTGACTAAAGCCATTGAGATTTGAAGTTATGGAATTTCCTGGACAAAATATAAGATTCTTTCCAAGAGATTTTTTTAGACAAAATATAATAAGTTATCAAATGTAACAGTCACCATTTAGCTCGAGGATCTGAACATGTAGTTAATCATCAGGGTTTAATATACTTGTGTTTGGGAACTCAATTAACCCCTGTGTCAACATGAAGTTAATCGAAAGATAAAGATGGATTGTGAGAATTAAGAGCATAATTCTGATGTCTTTGCAGAGGTTTACAATAATTGTATGTGCTGAGATTCAACCCGTTTACAAACAAGCAAGTGTTTCTACAAAGCATCCAACCATTACATTAGTATTCCATTCTTTAAATGAAACATAATAATTGTGAAGATTGAAATGTAGTCATGAAGATTTAGGCGAGGTACTTGCCTAGAACCAATGAATCTTTCTATGTCAAGAGTCAACTATGTCATAGAAAGTACTCACGTTTGTACAAAGTATCTTAGCTTTGCTAGATGTATTCAATCATTCAATAAGTAAGTGAAATATAAAGCATTTTTTTTCGGGGGGGGTGGGGATGCACAAATATAACTTCTGAATGATTTATGCATGGTCATCACCTTTTACTAATAATGAATAAGAAACTACTCACTCTTTATGACTTTGGTAAAGCTAAAAAAGTAAGTGATGGTCATCCCTCTAAGTAGAGGAGTTACAAGGTAAAACACACTACACAAGGAGCCAATCTTCGATGAAAAATGAGTAAATCACATTCCACCCTTCACGGCTTTAGTAAAACACTAGAAAAATGGATGAGTTTCACTCCTCTAAGGGAAGAAGGAAGCTCAAACAATGAAAGTAAATGGAACTAATAATGAAAGTAGAAGAAATGTAGTTACTTTTGAAGTGTTTCCTCCTCAACCAAAAGATGATCTAACTCCTTCTATCCCTCTCTATATATGACTATGAATGTAAGTCTAAGTCTAAGCCTAACTCCTAAAATCTACTCCCTTAAAGCTCCCATAATGGGAGTATTTATAGGCAAAAAGAGGGGCAAGAAAGTATGAGAGAATAGTACAAGGTCTTCAAAGTCTAAGTGAAAGCCCCGAGTTCAGGATAGAAAATCAACCACTCTGCAGCCTTTCTGGGAACAACGTTCGAACGTTTGTTGACATTTGAACGTTGTCTCCTGTCTTCTTTGATGGGCGTTCGATCACTGGATGGGGTTTGAACTTCCCACTCAAGTGGTCGTTGTTCTTCTGTGAGTGCAACTCCCACACGCTATATGTCATAGCACTTCTTCCAGGGGGTCCTCAAGTAATTCAGGCCAACGTTCGAACGTTAGTTGACGTTCAAACGTGGTACTGAAGTACCTTTTTGTTTTTCTTCTTAGCTGCAACACGCCATGTATCATCATCTCAGCAATCTGGTCCTCCAATAATTTAAGAGGACGTTCAAACATGGATTGGCATTCAAACATTCATTCCTTGTTTCAAACTTCTCCAATCTTCTTCCAAAACATGCGATTGCTGCATGTAAGTTTGATATGCATTGACTTTAGGTCTTTGTACAATTTTTCTCCTAAAATGTCATCATTGAAACTCTATCAAAACATAATTAGTCTTAAAAAGGCATAGTAAGATGCTAATTTTAACTACTATTCACACCCCCAATCTAAATATTGCTAGTCTCTAGTAATACTACAAAAATTGAATGAAAAATTATTTATCATGCCTTTTTCTTAGGGCATCCAATTGCATTTAGAGAATGTAACAAGCTGTTAAACCACTAAGTTTCCCCTAGCAGATGAGTGTTGTCTCGTGAGGGTTTTCAGTGAAATTGTCCACAAACTTCAATCGAACAAATGTGTGTGTGAGATTGCTGGTTAAAGTGAGTTAGCACCATGGTCATTGGGATACCCAACCCTCAATTTCGACTTATATCCCAAACACTTCTCTTTCATAGGTACTTACTCTATGCAAAAATGAGCATTTGTTACATTGGTATTTGAAGTTCCCTGTGTAGTAGGAATAATCATTCTAACAACAAGAATTGGTATACAACAAACGTTCTTCTTCACCACATTCCATGAATAGATTTGATTTCACAAACCTCTCTTTGAATGCTCTCAGCAATAATTTCCTCCGATTATAGTGAATTTTCTCTCAAAGGGCATGTGATCAGAAGAAGGCTAATTTGAAAATTCACATGCACAATTAGTACGAGAGTGAAATCTAAGGAACAAACTAATCATGTTTGACATAATCTCATGAAAGAATATTGATGCAAATAAAGCAATACTATTTAACATACCCCCACTTTTGGTTGACGACGTATGCATCAGACTTGAGATCAATTTGAACTTTCTATAGGTTGTAATGTGGTCAGAGGTCAATGGCTAATAAAACGATGTCAATGACATTCAAAAGTGATCATTTCTTTATGTAGTGTAGCACACCTCTTTCTAGCTTTTCAAATTTTCACTTATATGCTATTTCTTTCTTTCATTCCTTTTTCTCATTTTTCACTTTCTTGGTCATTTTCTGTTTTTTTGTCTATTTTCTTTTTCAATTATTTCCACCGACTTTTCTTTTATTGAATAGTAGTTACCATTGTCTTTTCGTTGTCTCTTGATTTTATTTATCACACGGATCAATAAGAGGGTGTAAGAAAATTAGATAGCAAAGGTTTGTCAAATATATTTTCCTATGGCTTGGTTATCATATGGGTTACTTGAAAAAGAAATCATACATTAAAGGCTCAATCATGGCTAACTAGGGATATAATTGTGTAAAAGAAATAGCTAAGGCTCAAAATTAAATCAAAGATTACCTAAGATCCTTTCTCAAGTGTGTGCACAAGTATGTGTCGTATGAACAGATTCTTTGTGGGATATATCAATGGATTGCTTTAGTTGCATCAATTAAAACAAGTTTAATGAGATTATTCAAGGATAGATGACTTGATCCGAAATGTGCACACCCAAGTGCAGTCAAGTTGTAGTAATAATCCGGTTAAGTTCAGAGTCGAATCTACAAAGAACTATGATTGGTGTTTTGAAGTAAGCAATAATAGAGACCAAGTAATTAAAAATTTTGAGAGTTTGGAGTGGTGGGGGTTCTTGAATCGAATAGAAGATTCTTTCAAGAGTTTTCTAGACAAAATATAAGATTCTCAAAATGTAACAGCCACCCTTTAGCTCGAGGATCAGGACATATAATAGATTATCCGGTTTATTATGTTTGTGTTTTATAACTCAATTAACTCCCGTGTCAACAACAAGTTAATCGAAAGATAAAGATGGATTGTGAGAATTAAGCACATGATTCCGATACCTTTCTAGAAGTTTACAAGAATTGTCTGTGCTGAAACTTAACCCGTCTACAAACAAGCAAGGTATCGGAATCATGGTGGAGATTGAAAGGTTGTTATGAAGAGCTAGTCGGACTGCTTGACTTGAACCACTGCATCTTTCTATCCAGGAGTTATCCGTATCATAGAGGAAGCTCTTGGTTATACAAAGTACCTTAACTTTGCTAGATGCTTTCAATCATCCAATGAACAGGTGGAATATAAAGCATTAAAGCATGAAGAAGTTGCACAAACATAGCTTCCAGATATTTTTTACATATTCATTACCTCTTACTAAAGAGTGAATAAGGAACTACTCACTTTTCATGGCATTGCCAAAGCTAGAAAGTGAATGCTACTCCTCCCTCTAAGTAGAGGAGCTACTAAGTGAAGCAAACTAAACAAAGAGCTTATCTTCAATGAGGAATAAGTAAATCACTTTCCATCCTTCATGGCTTTGGTAAAGCTCTATAAAAGTGGAAGAGTTTCACTCTTCTAAGAATGAAGGATGCTCAAGCAATGGAAGTGAAATACATAAACAATAAAAGTAGAAGAAAGCTAGTTACTTTCGGAGGGTTTCCACCACAACCAAAAGATCAACTATCTCTCTTGATACTTTGTAAATAAAAGCAAGTACAACTACAAGGGAAGTCTAATCCTCCATCATAGTTGTCACAACATGAATGTAAAGACTTAGCATAAGTAAATAAAAGACTTCAACTACAAGGGGATTTTAAGCCTCCATCATGGTTGATATAAATGCAAAATGCTAACATAAACATGAAATATTCAAGAACTAGATTACTAAACACTCTCTTACTTTACAAGAAAAAGGATTGCTCCCTCTTTACTCTACAAGAGGAAGAATGCCCTTTAAGCTCCCAACATGGAAGTATTTATAGGCAAGGAAGGGGAGGGGGTGAAGGAATAGTGTTTGTCGCCCAAGTCCAAGTGAAAAACCAACAACTCTGTAGCCAATCAATGGGGGACGTTCGAACATGATCTGGCGTTTGAACGTTAAGTCTGTCTTTTCTTTAAGG